GGCAGGTTAATTTGGCCGCAATGAAACCAGCCTCGGCCATTTCCCAGCGGATCCCAATACAAGGGATTGGGAACGAGCCGTAAGTCGGATTTTCGCTCGACGATATCAGCTACGTCGCACACCATTGATTGGTGGCACGATTCCAAATTACCCTTTAAAACTATCTCATCGCTGTTTAGAATTCGCCAAACTGCCAATCAATAGTTATCTTATTGTTGCTTCCATTTGGCACACGTTTAGATTACACACGCAACGAATTTTTTTCAGCAAAACTTGTTACACAGTATGTAGAATTTAAAACTTAATACGTAAAAGTTGCAAATTGTCTTCCTCTTTTTCATAAATTTAATATAAAATCTGTGCGATTGATGCCTAAATAGATAAATTGCAAATTAAATTTTATGCGTAAAATAACTGTACTATATTCGAGGAGAACCGATTGTGTGGAGTCGCCCCGATCGATAGTGTAATTTTGACGCGCAATCTGGATAGGGTTGGCTTAATGATTACAAGATATTAACTAGGTACCTGCTGCATGGCCTTTCCGGCAAAGTCCTTCATCATGTTCGACGTGGACACACCATATTTTCCAATATACAATCTGGGAAAGGAATGAGGCCCGACGGTTGATATATGGCGCCACTCAAGGCGTATAAGCGGTCGTAATTCATAGTATTATCAGATCTGGCCGCGTGGCTCTGTGTAAGCGGATCGTTTGTGTAAGAATGAAAAAGGAAGAACGGAGGGGGTTTAAGGAACTGAGAGGGTCGAAAGAACCGACGGGAGATAATTGATCGTCGACGACGATCTTGTCAACCTCTGATCGTAATCTTGCAGATTGCCGTATTATATTTTTGTGACAGTCATAATTTTGCTTTAAATAAATTGAAGTGAAAAACGAGATGAGATAAAAAAGAGAATAACAGCGAACGAAAAACTCGCATTTATAAAATTTGTAAAACGAGATTAAATAGTTTTTATTCTTTGAACGTAAAAATGTATCTCGGGGCGGTCAATATTTTGCGGATATCGATCGGCGCCTTGCAACGTGTTCAAATTTCTTTTGCGCGCACAACAGAGATCGAAGTCGCGACGTGCCCGTGATTTATTTCACTGGACACTTTGCCGGGAAGAACGTGACTGGAAGTACGGCTTAGCCAGTCCCTTAAATCACTGAAGCAGCACTAGAGAGTCGAAATCGGTATCTTGGCTGCTATATTCCGCGCACGATCGAGCCCGAATGGCGTCCTACGATGCTCTATCATCGTACCTTTGTCTTGCGGCTGCAAACGATAGTCCCCGCAGAGTTAGAACCCAATGTCGCCATCGAAAAGGAAACGAGACTCGAAATACGTACGTCACTGTCAAAGAAAATCGCGCGAAAATGTTTCCTCCGCGCATTATTCCGACATTCTATAAAAGGTTAAAAGAATTTTCTATTCTGAAAAGCGTGAAAAAGGTTTGCGAGAATGTATTTTGCATAACGTAGAAATGAAATGGCGAACGATTGGCGGAATATTCTATACGTTTATTATTTTTTTTTCTTTTTTTTTCATTGATTTTCACGTTGATTTGCGGCAACTTTCAAACACATGTCCAGTCGTGAAAGCAGAAGAGGATACTAATGAGACGAAAAGACGAAATGATCGGTCTCGGCGACGTAGTCGAGGGTAAACGAAAGCAGCGTAATTTAACGACATCGTTCATGACTTTAATACCTCGTTACGAAAGGGCCGATCTTTCGACTTTTTGCGATGCGACATCTTCAGGAGAGCTCTTTGAAGAGGCCGAACATCAAGCATCCCCTCGAAAAGCTCGCCTGGCAATTCATCTCTGCAGCGACCGGCTAAACTTCATTAATTAATTACGTGCCGGAACTTTGTCAAGATTTTCTTTTCAGGATACTGATCCCCGCAGCGCGATAGTTTGTGCGATACGAAGCTCTACGCGAAGCGACGCCTTCACGAATAGGCTGATGTGTTATTCGAGAAAAACGAGTGTCCGATTTCAGAGGCCCTTCCATGATTAAAGCCCTTTATTTAGCTGACGCACGAAAGCTGTTCGTTTTGTTCCGGAACATAAACGTAAAAGTGATAATGACGGAACAGCGGGAATAAGTATTGATCGCGCTCTGCGGCTGGCCAGTAGTTACGGGCTGGTGTGGTCAAACAGTAGTAATAGAACCGGTCGTGGTTAGCCAGTAGTAAGAGCGTAGCTGTGGTCAGACAGTTAGTATCAGGTCCCGCTGCGGTCTGATACGAGCAACTGTTCTACTTCGTCATACTGTGCTTCTGTTTTGAAAGTTTTAATGGTACCGCTGTACCATCAGTTATTTCTGTTTCCAAAAATATACATATTACATAATCCGACAAAACGTAAAAGATTCTCTTCAAAGAACAGTTATCATTCTTAGAATAAGCGTGTAATATTTTATGCGTTTTACATTTTTAATTGCTAGAAGAATAATATATGCAATACAATAATATGAGATACACAATCTATTTATATAATATTTAAAAATGATTATTATAACTATAATAAAAAACGATATCTAATATATAAAAATAGAATATAATAATAGAAACCATAAATAACAGGTTTCAATTTGTTGCAATATTTTTTTTTTTCATTGTGTGGAAACAAAGTTGATTAAGTGCTTAAAGCTGAATCGATTAAATGTGTAATTAAAATTTGAACGTCGTGCAAGTAAATTTTTTATCTTGAACGAAAGTTCTCTGTCGATACTGAACAAATTAAGGTTCTTTAATTTTGCGAACCTTTCAAGCGAATGCTTCCCTTAATTGCGTTTAAGAATCGATATTTTGCTTCCTTTGACAATTGTGAAAACGAAACAGTATTGGACGTACATATTACTATATTTTTATTACTAATAATATTTTATAAGTATATATTCTTGTGTATCACTGAATGTTAACTAATGCAAAGATGCACGATTTTCTATTGCATAAAGTAAGATATTTGAAAAGTAAACATTGAAGTTAATTTTAGTTGTTTGCTCAGGGACAAAGAGAGTCTGTAATTATTTTCAGACCAAACTCTCTTTTGTGCGTCTGGACGAGCTTCAATGATGACATGAATAAAAGATATGAGAGGAGAAATTCGCGTAGAGTAGAGAGTTGCGCCGACGAAGACAAATTGCGTTACAGAATCCTTCAGGGGAAAAATATAAATGATTATACGCAAAGAGCGAAGAAGAATGAGGCCAGAAATAGAGACATTTGTAATGTACGGCAATTAATCTCCTTGTTTTTTAATTCGGAGACAGGTACCAGCTGTTGAAGCACTGCTATTCTCCGAGTGATATTTACGTACGCGAACGATAGAATATTTCTATGCAATTGTCTTTGTCTATTTAATCGCATAATCGAGAGCGAGACTGTGTCAATACTTGCTTAATATCCAAGTGTGATAACGCAATATCGGTGCTGCATTCAACGTGCTTCATTCCGTAACGGGAATGCAGGCGCACGCCGTTGTGCTTGGAGAAACCAGTTAGAGTAAACAAGAACCTCCTAAGCACACAGCCCTCTCTCTATACTCCGTACTTGCGAGCTGTTGCGTATACCCGAAACTTGCAAACCGAGGATGCGGCAGAGAAACAATAAACTTTGTTAGCAAGTAGATATAAATGCGGAAGTATGGTTTGCGTGTTGATTTTTCAATGGAATCTGATCGTCGCGAAGAAATTCTAACTTTTACAAGTTAATTGTTTTTTTCAAATTTTTTATCTGGCGACTTTAATTCGCTGTAAAATGAAGAAACACAGATAATAACTTGTGATATAAGCTCCGCCGTGAAATCTGTGCGCTAACCCTGCGATCGACGTATGCGAGCTTTTTGCTTGATCTAGGGCCAAGGAAGAGACAGGATACGCCTCCGACAACCCATGATCCTTGACACCTGGAAACGAGCCAAGCGCGGGTCTTCCGAGGGCGTCGAACTTATGCCGTCGGCAGGCTCCCAAAATTATAGCTCAGCTGCGTCAGCGACTACGGTGTTTGTTTTCATCTCGATGTCGGCACGACGGTTCATATATACTTTTCCATCGGTCCTCACGTCGTCCCATTTCTTTCGCCTGTTGTTCACAACGGCGAATAATTTTTCAACAATTAATAAAGTGAATCGCGCGCGCGATGAGCAAAGATAGAAAATGGATCAATACATTACTTTCGCGTACTAAACGGTATTGTTATCGGTATTATTTTTGTTAACGGGCTGATATAAAATATCGAATAGTTTAATCTTCTCCAACAAGATAGTACTTCCACTCCCTCCTCCCATCCCTTTCGTTAGTTGCGGCGAAAAGAGAACGGTCGGAATGGTTTTCTAAAATCCGATTACTCCGGCCGACTTAAGCGGATTTTCGTGAAAACTACGTCACGCCTGTGTTTGAAATCCGTTGTGCTTATAAACAAAAAGATGACAGGATTTATATCTTCTCGCGTTTCTTTGTGTTTGATAACAATGAAATTTGTTCCTTTTCTCACGACTACGGATAGTTTTTTCGTAGGCATTGCAAGGTGGATTTCTTCCGAACAGAAATTGCACTCTGTGCAACGAAGACGTTTTAATTTTTGCCGTGTTTATGACATTGTTTTTACAAGAAGTTACGAACACACATAAGTTGTATGATAACGTAATTAGTTATGTAATAATTAAGTCGGCAGAAATTTATTATAATTTATAATTTCCGCTGATTTACGCATTTTTCAAATAAAAATATAATTTATTGTTTATATTTGACATTGATTCCTTTTATAAATGTCAGCTATATAAGGAAAAGATTCGATATTTCTTCTAATCTTTCATTAAATACATTTGATAATTTAATGCAGTTTATTTGCGGTCTGTTATTTATCTTTATCGTATTCTTCATTTAGCTAAGACGTCGCATAATATCTATATTGAGCAATAATATTTTTGGATATTTGCTCGGAAGATGGAAAATCTAATTAATTCGGGATTTCAATTTGTTCCAGATTAAATTACTTGATGGCCGGTTTGAGTCCTATGTGGTATCACGCCACGAATGTCGCGTTACACGCCGCTGCGTGTATCTTGGTCACCAGAGTGAGCCTCGTGGTAGCAGCACTCCGGCCAGGATTCGCGGCTCTCGCTGGACTACTATTCGCCGCACATCCTGTGCACACAGAAGCGGTAAGTAATCACGTACACGTATTTTTGATAGAGCGGAAAGATCCACTGTGTTTCCCAAAAGAAACAAATACTTTTTCAAAGTCTGTTTGAACGTTAAAATTTAATTTCAAGTGAAAAATGTCAGTACATAGTCAGACAAGTTCGGTTCGGCACTTTGTATGTACAATTCTCGTCTATTGCAATTATTCGAGCAGAAAAGCTTTTAATCACAAACGCTACAGTCGATCACTCTTGCTATTTTGTAGTTTTGTCGGTTTACCGTTAGTTAATATTCAATAGCATATTCGCGAGCATGTACTTACGCGTTACACGGTTCACAGCACAATGGCAAATTCCGCTCTAAACCAAACAAAACAACAAGATTAGTAGAGCCCACTCGCCACATAACCGCGTCGCGTGCCCGAATAGAGTCTGGTTGATCCGCTTTTCCTAAGTGCATAAACGTAATTAGCCTAATCTTATTATGGCTATGATCGTGACGAGCAGAATTTGGCGTGTTCGTCCGTGTCGTTGGCGGCAGAGAGAATGACTGTTGCTTCAAAATAGACCTGTTTTTCATGTAATCAACGTCGGCGTTTATCGGCCATAAGAGAAACAATGAGTTGGGATGTTCACGCGCTACTTTGGGCGAATTGCAAGTTTTCTTTTGAGCTACGCAGACTAGAGAGAAGGGTTTAGAGCTGTGCAAGCTTCTATCGAGGTATTTCTGCACAGAATCAACGAGAATGATAAACTTCTACGTTGTTGATAATATTACCCTACTTAACCAGCTTTACTTAAGCATACGATGCTTTGCCCGCCGTTATTGCGCAAATTATGTTATTATGTTATTCCTGGGAATGGAAGTTTATAGAGCCTTGTTAGATCAGGAAGTTGGGAAACGGTGCGGAACAATGCCGTTAGAACTGCATATCATCGTAATCGGTGATTATAATATATTTGTTTAACGTCAAAGCTTACAGAGAAGTTGAAAGACGCCCGCTATATACTTTCTACTAGAGACAATAACTAAAACATAACATGGTATTATAATTACCGTACTATCAATTTTATATATGTTTTATATAAAAAATAATTTATAAATTTTAATATTAATATTATAAAAAAGATAATTATTTACGAATATTTGCCTACATAAAGCTTTTTTGTTTGATTAATATTATTATTCTATTCAACGGAACTTACGCTTATTAGCAGTTCGCTGAATCGTAAGGCAACACATTATATCAATGATCAATGCGTTGTAATTTTCGTTTAATTATAAATATGCAATCAAAAAAAATGTATAGGAATCAGATTGTATAGGTACGCGGACAAAGGTGAATTCCGCGTCATTAGCTTTGGGATCGTGCCTTTTGAGCGAAATTACTGGCGGCACACGACACTGGTTCGCAAGTCCGGTCTACCCATTACAAGCCCGACCTGCTTGCCGGTCACGCACTGCATCCTGTTACATCACGTGCGTGCGGTATTGCATGTATTACTCGTTGCGTGCACCACCCGCCCTCGTTGCCAGTGTCACTATTGTGATATCATGTTCATGTCGTACGCGACCGGCTAAGTCGGGTAATAATGTGTACTCATATCATATCAAATACTCTGCCGTCCATGATGATTTCTACATGGAGTGACATGAGAATCTTTTCGTTCATTTAACAGCAGAATTGTGCAGGACAACTCGCACATTGGCGTTGCATATGAATTTTTGCTGCTTTGTAAGATATTATGTGACTGGTTTTATAAATATCTCCAAACGGGAATAATCAAACGCTATTTTCAGAACAGAAAACAACAAAAGAAAGAGCGTTGTGCGCGACAATGGGGATACTCCATCACTTTTCGAGATGCTAATTTAAGTATCCACTCATTTAAAGTATTTTTCTATTAAATATTAAAATATTCAATGTGAATCAGTCACCATTTTGCTTTTGTCGCGAGAAAAACAGCACGGAACTTTTTACGATGTCGTTCAAAATATTCTCATGCTCTTTTTAATTCATATTCTTTCGTCACGAAACGCTTGTAAGTTTGTCGCCGATATTAATAAATTATATCATGTCGTGTGTAGCACACGAGTATCGGAAAGTGTATCTCGCGCTTCGAAAGTGCGGGTAATTCGCCGCAGTACAATCCCCCGCAAGAGTTTACCCCGCGCAACTCCCGCGTCGCTTGTCATGATGTAGGATTTGTTGTCACGTTGTTGATAGGATCGTTGCTCGCGTTGCTCCGGCGACAATCGCCGGTACTGTGCCAATCAAACCAGTTGGTACCGTTTGATTCTGTTTGCCGAAATGATCATCCGGTGAAAGCGCCGCTTGTTTTCTGTTGAAGGGTTAAGTCCTTGGTTCGGCCGCTGAAAGGAATCGCATTAATTAAGTACAACGCTATTGAAGCGTTTTGGCTTTTGGTCCGGTGCGAGCCGGACCTGAACAAAGGACGGGTGATGGAGAAAGGGTGGAAGAAGGCGGAGGGTAGAGTAGAATTAGTGACTACTGCCCTAGACTTCGTTGTCCGGTCGAGTGCGGAAATCTCAACGATCGATCGATTACCATGCTCATATTGCTGTTTATTACATAAGCCGCATTTTGTTCGTGCTCGCACGATAAATTAATTTCCGGAAATCCAGTATTTGCAGATCAGTCGAGCAAGAAGCTAATCTTTTTATAACGAGTCTACTATTAAAACAATTGAGTGTTACTTAACAAAATAATAATTTGTTCTATATATAAAAAAAAGTTTAAAAGTGAATTTCTAATTAAAATGAAAAAAAAGCGTGATGTTTTTCTCGTGAAAAGTTTATAGAAATACATGACACGTTAGATTGTCTGAAGGCAATATGTTTTTTTTTTTTATTAATTAAAGATAGTACTGAGAGATTTGTGATATCAGTAACAAAATCGTGTGTTAGATATTGATTGAATTGGCTTTCAGGGATCTAAAGAACGTTTGCACACGGTCGTTTGAATGAAACGTTAAAGTTAATCACAGCGTTGCTCGAGGACATTGAGCTGCAATCATTGTACGTCCGAGTCAAAGACTATTCGTTACATCGCAATCTCCTGTTTTGCTCAAATCCGTATAGAGTATTCAATTTGTGCCTGCCGTTTGATTGGTGACTGAATACGAGAATTGTCGGGAGTAATGACAGATGCGTGAATCGAGCGACATGGCCTTTTTAAAGCCGGTGAAGTTATTTTTATTCTACGTAAATCTCAGTCGATGAAAAGCTATTAAAAATTTTATTCCAATAAAGCATTTCATGTTTGTAGAAATTCTGTTTGTAGGAATTGTTATGTCTTTTTTTATTTATTATATTATTATAATCGTTAAGAAAAAGAGTAGGATAAACCGTCAATAAGAATTATTGCTAAGAAGTTAAAAGTGCTTTCATTGTCTTATCCGTTTGTCTCAATATTTCAGCAAAAATATTCAAGTTTGATAATATCTTACGGCTTGCGCCTCGCAATTCCCTTCGTGTTCATGTTTGACTCACACCCCTGATTATCGATCGTTCAATGTTATAATTTCCACGTGAAATTGGATGCATTGATTTTTTGCGATACGTCCATCAGTATCGGTAATTCCGCGTTATCCGATGGGGCAAACGCCGCGGGCGAATGGCAAAAGTGCTCTTAGATTAGAATTGGAACATTTAGATCACGCGATATCGCTCACAGAACCGTTTGGCAATATATATCGGCTATTTTGTAAAATCGCTGCCCATTTGTTTACGTTGACAAGTACATCCAGTCCATTAAACGGTTTGAGACTGAAAATATGACTTTATTACCTTTATTATACATAAACCTTTTGTATGGCTTCTTTTATTCTTTGCGCATATAAAGCCTACAGAGAAGAAGAAGAATAATTCTTCGAAATTACAGCTATTTCATCGGATTAAAGCGCGCTCGCTTTTGTACAATGGAACACAAAAGTCGCTCGATTTCACTTCGCCATTAAGTGAGCATAACGAAACGATTTCCATAAGGGAAAGTGTAGATTGGAGAAACAGTATTAGAAAGAAACCGCAAGAACTAAGCCCTGCCATTACAAATAATCGCCTTACCGTCATTTGCAGTATTTAATAATAATCTCTTCCTTTATTCATCGTTTTCTCTTCCTTTTTTCTCTGCAGCATTTTCACGCACATACCGCACGCACACACACACACACACACACACACACACACACACACACACACACACACACACACACACACACACACACACACACT